CTTTCCCCACCCAGCTTTTCCTATCTCCAGAGATCTGACTTCCAATAGATTCTCTAGCAGAGATGGTGAACTCATTTGTTATGAGGGCCAGATCTGACATGAATGTCATTTTATTGGTTCAGGCCATGTGTGCCATAAAATGTAGCACAAGGTACCAGGGATATAAACTTTATAAAGATTATTTCAGATGCTGAATGGCAATAGCCCGCGTGATTGGATTGGGTGTGATATAGGTAGTAGGAGTAGAGTAGAGATATCAGCACTGGTAATGAGACAGGAAACCTAGGTCTCAATTTGGTACAAGCGGATTCAGTCCAGGTGGATGCAAAGAATACATGGAAATAAGTCTGAAGAAGTGAGCAGTGACTCAGAAAAGCACATACCCTACCACATTTTTGTTAGTCCTTAAAGGTGCTACTGAACTCTTACTTTTTCTACTGCTATTACAAACCACAACATTCAAAAACCAGTGGGGGGACATTTTAACCTTCCAGGACATTCAGTTGCTGACCTAATAGTAGCAGTTCTCTTACAAAGGAATTTCAAAGGGAGACAAGAGACTGCTGAATTGTAACTGACAATGAAGCTCAAGACAATGCAAACTTCTGGACTGAATGGAGACCTAGGTTGTTCCTCTCATTAACAATGCCTGCTATTGTCATTTGGCAACTGAAATCATTTTATTCTCTAAGGTATAAGGACAGATGGACTCCCATTCTAGCTGTATCTAAAGAACTAAGCAGTGACTCATGAAAGCTCTTACCCTGACAGAAACTTTTGTTCATCTTTAAGGTGCTGCTGGACTCTTGTTCCCTTTCACTAATAAGGAATGCACGCTGTACTGTTAGGTTTCTTCCCCTCCCCTATCTGTTAGAAATGGAAAAGGGGATCCATATTGCTCTGCCCCTTCCAACAACACACTTATTCCCTCTCCAAGGGTATTCAGAAGGCCACATACTCTTTTCCAATTTCACTTCAGTGCCAGTTCCTGTCCTCAAACTCACAGAGAGACCCAAACACTCTCATCTTGGGTAGAATGAAAACCCTACCCTCCTCCTCCTGGCTGTTGTGCATCCTACATGA